TAAGAATTTGAATCCTATGCCATTTCCCAAATACGTTTACTTTTGACATTACTTCATTGTCTGTCATTCCTTTGAGCAAGAGGTAGTTTCCCTGCTAATACCTTTTAATAGGGATATTTTTGCTTTTGCTTTTTCTGAGATCATGATTGCTACCCCTCCATTTTTCAATTCATCTGAAGTAAACAGCTTCTTCACCAACCCCCTTTTTCACTCTGTAGCTCTCTTTGTTTCAAGTACATTTCTCGTAAAAAAAAAAAAAAAAAACAAAGAAAGAAGCATACATATTTTTGAATACTGGTTTCTAATCCATTTTGTTACCTGATTCCATTTTATGAATGAGTTCACCTAATTGACAGAGTTAGGACTAGTAACTATGCATTTCCTTCCTTCCTATCTTCTTTGGTTTCTCCTTCTCTCTCTCTTTTTATTCTGTCTCTCCTCTAATTTCTGTTTTGCATAGGACAACTGTATTATTTTATCACTCGACCCCTTTATCACCACTTTTTCTTCCTCTTTTCCCACTCTCTTACTTACCTCTCAGGTAACATAGATATTTACGACCAACTGAGTAAGTATATATAGGGACAGACATAAATATAGATATAGATATTTTCCTCTATTAAACCAATTTAGATGTGATTGAGGTTCAAGCATTGGCTACTCCGCCTCTACCATTTTCCACTGCAGGGTAAAAGCTCTTTTTTGCACACCTATTTTATGTGAGATTATGTCCCTCATTCTTTCTCTCTTTTCTGCCTTCTCTCAGAGCATCCATATTTTTTGCCTATCCATTTATTTTCCATCATGCCAACCTAAGTGGCTCACTCTCAAACCTTCTATGTAGAATCCTTCTACCTCCTCTAAGAATGGCAACATTCTTAGAAGATATGTGTATCCTCTTCCCTTATAGGAAAGTACACCATTTAACCTTAATGAGTTGCTTATGATTTCTCTTTCATATTTACCTTTTAATGCTTCTTTAGAGTCTTGTATTTCAAAGTCATATTTGCTCTTCAGTTCTGGTCTTTTCCTCTGAGTTTTTTGATGGCAGATGTGTTTCCCCAGAAAGCAAGCCTGTAGTAAGTAGAATGTTCTCAGAGAGTGTGTCTTCAGCCCCAAATGTCTTGTCCGCTGAGTGTTCAGAGTCTAGATGTGCTTCCCAGAGAGTAAGCCTGTAGTAACTGGAATGTTCTCAGAAAGACTGTCTCCTGCCACAAGTATCTTTTCCTCTGAGTCTTCTCAGAGCGTGTGTGTCTCCACATAGTAAGTATTTCATCCACTGAGTGTTCAGAGCTAGATGTGCTTCCCCAGAGAGTAAGCCTGTAGTAACTGGAATGTTCTCAGAAAGACTGTCTCCTGCCACAAGTATCTTTTCCTCTGAGTCTTCTCAGAGCGTGTGTCTCCACCCATAAGTATTTCATCCACTGAGTATTCTGAGGCTAGATGTGCTTCCCCAGAGAGTAAGCCTGTAGTAACTGGAATGTTCTCAGAGAGACTGTCTCCTGCTGCAAGTATCTTTTCCTCTGTATATTATTTTAGTTATGTTGACTGCCTTTGCTCCCTAAAACAAAAAATATCACTTGTCACATGGCATGGCTCTCAGGGAGGAGGAGAGGAAGAGGGAGGGATACATGGGATACCATCATGTAAGATACTGAAAACATCAATAAAATATTTTTAAAATGAGGTCAAGTATCTAAAGCATATTCATGGAGAAGTGGGCAGGGGAAAGAAAGGGTTTGGATGTGCAGAGAGATTCCTTCCATCTCTGCAGCCTCAGGATCAGGGCTTGGCTTGAGACCTCCAGCACTGAGAGAGGAGAAATTTGGCTGCTCCATTAATCCGCAGGTCTGGCATCCCCTTGTCAGTCTTCTGTCCACTCCCGCTCGGGGTACTGTGTGTCTTTCTTCAGTCCATGTGTCACCTCTCCTTTTCTGTGTGCGGCCATGTCTAGCGATCACATATCTGTCCTCCACTTGCTCTTCCTCTCAGTTCTGGCCAGACCATCATATGGCTGGCCCCAATACCCACCTGATCCTCTTCCTGCTCTTGCTTCTCTGTCCCCAGCCCCCATGAGTCCTTGAACTGTCTGCTGTCCCCTCCCTTCACAGGCATGTGACCCCCTTCCTGCCTCCTCCCTCCTCCCTCTAATCACGTCTGTGGGAAATTCACATTACTTCAAAATCCTTCTACTTATAGGCCTGCCCAATGGTCCACTTACACAAAACAAGAATGGCCTGTACTTGATGGAAAAAAACAAACAAACAAAGCAGATGGCATAAGTGGAAAGCAATTTGGGAGAAACTGGATAGGAGATCAGCACCTCATGCCAAGTATCAAATTAAATTATAAGGGAATACATGAGTTAGATATGATAGTTAAAATAATACAGTAATAAGTGATGAAAATTATAAATAAAAGATATAAATGATCATTAATAATACTCTAGCTTGGACTAGCAACTCACTAATTTATTCATTCTATAGCTATACATTAAGTTCCTCCTTTGTCCTGGGCACAGAGAAAGACAGGTGGCCTAATTAAGCAATCAAGCAGCATTTCTGAAGTACCTCCTGCTTAAGAGGTACACTGCTAGGCTGTGGAGATGCAAACACTAGTGAGGACACAGTCCAGACGAAGAATATCCACATAATGACCTTGACAACACCTTGTATCCAGAGCCCTCGAACTGACCAATCACACTCCAGCCCCTAACTAATAATGGACCACAAAACCAGGCAGTACCTACCACTGCTTACCCTAGAGTAACTTTGGAAGAAATTAACATGCCACCTTTTCTATCAGCGAATTCTAGTCACCCTTACCCTATAAAAAAACTACCGTTATCCCACCTGGGGCTGCTACTGACTTCTTTAAGGAGAAAAGCCCACTGGGGGCAGTAATCCCCAATAAATGCCCTTGCTCACTTTGGAGACAGTCTGAGCAAAACCTTTTGAGACAGCACTGTGACACAAGCCTTGCCTCCCAATCGTCCCTAACCACTAGAAGCTTACCTTCTAATGAGACACAAAATAAATAAAAGTAAATGGAGAATAAATTCAAATAAAGGCAAAGTACAGGCAGTCTGGGAGCCAGGCCACTAGGAGCTGGAAACAAGAAAGGCTTCATGGAATAGGCAATGTTTGAACTGTGTCTGGATGGAAAAGAGGGATTCTCTGATCCCTAAGGATAGAAGGCCAGCTTCAGGGTCAGAAGTTCAAGTCCTGAATTGGAACCATGCTAGCAGCATGACCACAGTCAAGTCACCTAACCTCTTAGTGATCCAGACAACACTGTAAGATCAAAGACATATTCACATGGGCTGTCAGTCTTACTGAGGAGGCAAAAAGATAAAAGAGTGCTTGACTAGGCACACTCTGACTTGCCCTTGCCCAAGGTCACATAACTAGGAAATGCCTGAGGCTGGATTTGAACTCAGATCTTCCTAACTCCAGGCCTAGTGCTCTTACCAATGAACCACCTAGATGGAGGGATTCAGAGATCCCAGAAGACTGGGGCCAAGCCACTGTCCAGGAGGCTGCCTTGAGGCCAGGGAAGGAAGGATAAGAAGAGTGCTCATTCTCAGTGAGCAGAAGTTCTACAAGTGCTCAGTCCCTTCTAAATTCACCACCCACCCTGGGGAAAAGCTCTAGTTGTCCTACCTGAATTAGGAACTCCCCTATTTGCTTTATGTACAGTGGTGCAAGGGTCTGGGAGTGGGACTATAATCACAAAGAGAATGTAAGCTACCTTTAATGTAGGCAGCAAGGGAAGCTTCAACTATCCCATGGGAAAAGTTGGAAGCTGTCTGGACACCCATTGCCTATACAGACTTCTAGGTCACAGTTCAAGGGCAGAGAGGAGAACTTTCTGGCAAGAGGGAACAGGGACCCTGAGGAGCAGGATCCATTACATTCCCAAGGATAAGTGGTTTTTCCTAGGCAATGCAAGAGCACAGACCAGGAAAGCAGTGGCCAAACCTCTCCCCAAATCACATCACTTTGGAACCATCAAAAACTATCAAACTCCAGAACTAGCTCTAAAACAGATAAACCACTGGGTAACTTGATTAACAAAAAGAAAAAAAAATTGCCAGTCTCAAAAATGGAAGAGTAAATCCATAACCAATGATGATGAAATTAAAGCAATGCTAACGAGTTATCTTGACCAATCATATGCCAGTAAAACTGACAATCTATGTGACATGAATGAATAATTACAAAAACATAAGCTGCCCAGTTTAAAAGAAGAGGAAACAGAATACATAAATAACTATCTTAAAGGAAAAAAAATTGAACAAGGCATACATGAGTTTCCTAGGAAAAATTCCAGGACCAGATGAACTGTGAAATTGAATTCTACTAAACATTTAACAAAACATTTCCTCCCAATACTATATAAACTACTTGAAATGAGAGGTAAAGAAGGAATCCTATCAAATGCCTTTTATGGCACAAACATGTTTGTGATACCTAAATAAGGGTGTAGGGATATATACAAACTAAAAATTTTTTGGGGGAGCTGTGAAATGACACATCCATTTTAAAAGTAATTTGGAATTCTGCAAAGAAAAATGTCCAAAGCCTGTAAAACAAAGACTCCATTACACCCCAATGAAGCCATTAATAAGAAAAATGTCCCCATATATTCCAAAATACTTATAATAACACTTTTACGATAGCTATGATTTGGAAACAAAGTAGATGCTCATCAACTGGGGAATGGCTAAACAAGATATGGAACAAGACAAGAACATGAAAGGCATGGAATACTGTTCCCATGCAAGAAGAAATGATGTGTGTGATGAGTACAGAGAAGTATGGAAAAACTTTGTGAACTGATGCAAAGTGAATTAAGCAGAGTCAAAAAAAACCCGGTATATATACTGGGTAACTACAACTGAAGTGGAAAGAATGACACAGCAAAAATTTAAAAGTACCTCTAACAAAATATCAAAGATGAAGTGGGACTGAAAAGGAAACGTGAGAAGACACCATCACCCTACCCCATCCAATAGGTGAGAGGTCCACAGGTGTTACACATTGCACATCTTTTCTAAAAGGCATCAATCAGTTGCACTCACTTTTCTTTTCCTCCCTACAACAAGAAATATGATTTGTTACATGGCATGGCTCTTGAGGATAGGGAGAGGGAGGATACATGGGATACCCTGGTGATGTAAGAAATAGAAAACATAAAAAAAATTCAGAACGAGGTCAAATATCTTAAGGGAAATAATGGAGGAGGTGGAAGGAGGAAAGAAAGGGGTTTAGGTTAGTGATTATCGGGAGCAGATCCAAACTATATTAGAAACTATGGTTGTTGTTTAATCCTGTCTGGCTTTTTCTAATCTCATTTGGGCTTTTTTGGCAAAGATACTGAAGTGGTTTGCCATTTCCTTCTGTGGCTCACTTGACAGATGAGAAACTGAGGGAAACGGGTGAAATGACATGCCCGGGTCACACAGCTAGTAAATGTCTGAGACCATATTTCAATTCAAGGAGATGATTCCTCTGGACTCCAGGCCCAGCAGAATACCTAGCTGACAGGAAAACAATTTCAACTTTTTAAAAATTGAAAAATTGATCGGTGGAAAAGATCAGGTATGCCATGTACAGAAGCCAACAAATAAAATAAAATAGTGTCTAATGAATTCAAAGGCAGTAGTTGGGGGAGAGGGAAGACACTATTTGGTTAAAAAAAAAGATGGCATCAGGGAAAAGCAGTTTGTCAGAAATTTGATAGGTCATCAACACCTCTCACCACCTATCAAATTAAACTACAAATGAATACGTGAACTAGGTATAAAAAGGGAATCAATAGCAAATTAGAGGAGTGAGGAGGAAATTACTTTTCACATTGATGGATAGGGCAAGAGGTTATGACAGAACAAAGAATAGAAAATCACCGAAAATAAAGTGGATGATTCTGCTTCTATAAAGTTGAAATGCTTTTGCACAAACAGATCAAATATAGTCAAAAAGAGAAAGGTAACAGTCAAGTGAGGAAAAACATCCTTGCAGTAAAGATCTCTAAGAACTGTTGCATATGCAAGATACAGAAGGAACTGATTGCAATTTCTAAGATTAAGAACCATTCTCTAAGAGGTCAAAGGAAAGGGCTGTTTTCAAAGGAAGAAATCCAAGCTATCAATAGCCCTAGGACAAAATGCTCCAAATCCCTTATGATGAGAGAAGTGCACACTAAAACAACTCTCTTCTATCCGGCTCTAAATTGTAGAGATCTACAGGTTCAGGAACAGTCCCCTCTTTCTGTTCCACAACAAGGTACATGGATGAAATGCCCTATTCACCAGGCCCTGATGGAAAGCAGAACAAAAAGCCAATATACCATTAAAATTAACCACACCAAACAAGAGGTGACAAAGAGAAGGGGAGGGGAAGAGTTCCTAAACTGTGTCCTCTCTGCCCAGCGCCAAGGCCAAGCCAAGGATAGGAAGAAGAGAGGAAGGGAAGAAGAAAGGATTGAAATATCCACCTGAGGAGGGGAGGAAGGGAACGTCCCCAAAATCTTCTCCCTGCTGACCTCCACCCCACTTCATCTCACCACCCCGCAAGGCCCAGACTTCCAGACAAAGGGCTAGGCAGGCAGGAAGCCCCAGGCAGAAGCAGCCCTGGGGGAGCAGGCACAGGAGCACCCACCCACACAGGCACCCTCCTCCTGCAGTCACACACAGGCACACACAGCTTGTCCTACCTACATACACAACACAGACATAAACAAAAATATTGATACTCCCAGGATCTTCCACCCACCTTTACACATATCCTCCCAAGCACTTATTGGTGAGGGTCGAGGGTCCAATTTATGAAAAGGTGCGGGGAGGGTAAGATAAGGGAAGAGAAGGGGAAGAAAGGGAGAGGCTGAGGCAGGAGCAGGGGAGGGGTCACTTACCTGACTCACAGACACCGTAGGCATTAGTAGGACCCTCAGGATCCATCAGTCTGGAAGACGGGGGTAACGGAGGGGCGGGCGTGGAAGGGAAAGGGAAGGGAAGTGGATGAGGGGCAAGCAGACGTCTAGCTGCCCATCCTACTCACATCCTCCTCTAGAGACAAAGAAACTCACACTTAATAGAAGGTAGAAGCCTCCCCGCCCATCTTGACCCAGTGATATCACTGCAGGGCGGGGCTACCTCCTCCAGAGCAAAGAGGGAAGGGAGGAGGGAGAGGAGCGGGTTTTTGATATCTGATCCAGAGCAGTGAGGGCCCCCCAGACACTTCTCTCTGCCCCCATCACCCAAACTGGCTACGGGAGGGGCCGCAGGCACATCTTCCATCTGGAAGTGGCCCCGGGCTGACCAGGGTCCCAGGTTCCAGAGGGCAGGCTGCTGGGGCTGTGATGGGGGCAGCAGCTGAGCTCAGCCTGCAGTTCTTGAGGGTCGGCCCCTTTACAGAAACTGGGAAGGGGAGGACAAAGAGGGGACGGGAAGGTGGGCAGAGGAGTGCCCTGGGCTCCACAAAAGGGAAGAGCACAGTAGGAGCAGCAGCACCTGCAAAGCAGTAGTGAAAGGGAGTTGGATCCCTCACCACCCCCACAGCAGAGAAAGAAAGGGCCGTTCTGGGGAAGGGGTGGGTCTCAGCCTCATTTCTCCCGCCAAGAGGAGACAAAGATCTGGTCGGGGAGGGGTGGAAGGAGAGGGGAGCACCAAGGGAAGCATTGTGTTCATGTGTGGGTACCCTGGTCTAAATCCTACAGAATATAAACCTTGCAGAGCCTGGACAGGAGGGAGCCACACCCTCCTTTCTGGCTCAGTGTCCTCTACAAAGGGGAGACCAAAACGCTCGAAATCCCTTATAATGAGAGAAGTGCACATTAAAACAACTCTCTTCTTTCAAGCTGTAAATCATAGAGATCTGCAGATTCAGGAACAGTCCCCTCTTTCTGTTCCACAACAAGGTACATGGATGAAATGCCCTATTCACCAGGGCCTGGTGGAAGCAGAACAAAAAATCAATATGCCATTAAAGTAAAGGACACCAGACAAAAGAGGTGACCAGGAGAAGGGGAGGGGAAGAGTCCTGGACTGTGTCCTCTCACCCCAGCCTCAAGGTCAAGCAAAGGATAGGAAGAAAGGAAGAAGGATGGAAACATCCACCTGAGGAGGGGAGGGAGGGAATGTCCCCAGAAGCTTCTCCCTGCTGGCCTCCATTTCACCACCCCCCAAGCACCAGACCTCCAGACAAAGGCCTGGGCAGGCTGGAAGCCTCAGGCAGAAGCAGCCCAGGAGGAGCAGGCACACATGGGTGCACTCACCCACACATACACACGTACACACACTCACACAGACATTCACCCCCCAACACACACATGATTCTACCTACAGACACAACACAGGCATAAACAAAGGTATTCATACTCCAAGTACCTTCCACCCACCCTTACAAATAACTTCCTGATCATTCAGCAAAGCAAAATGGGAAGGGGGAGGCCTCGGCTTCATGAAAATTTTGTAGGGGAGGGAAGAAAAGAAAAGGAGAAGAAAGGAGGAGAATGAGGCAGGAACACGGAGGGGGCACTCACCTCACTCACAGACATGTAGGTACTAGCAGGACCCTCCGGATCGATCAGTCTGGAAGATGGGGGTAATAGAGGGGAGGGGTGCGGAGGGGAAGGAAAGGGGTGGGGGGCACTCGGACCTCCAGCTACTCACCCCACTCACATCCTCCTCCAGAGACAAGGACTTACCAGTAATAGAAGGTGAGAGGGGATGGGAACAGTGACGTCACTGCAGAGCGGGGCTTGTGTCCTCCCAGAGCAGGGGGAGAATGGCGGAGGGAGAGGAGAAGGCTGTGTGACATCAGGCTCAGACCAGTGCGGAGGCCCCCCAGTCATTTCTCTCTGCCCCCGTCACCCAAAAAAGCTAGGGAAGGGGGCCGCAGGTGCATCTTCCATGTGGAGGTGGCCCAAGGGATGAGCAGGGTCCCAGGTTCCTGAGGGTAGGCTGCTGGTGCTGAGGTGGGGGTCACAGCTGAGCTCAGCTTGGGATTGTCTGCCCCTTTATGCAAACTGGGAGAGGGAGGACAAAGAGAGGATGGGGGAGGGAGAGGGATGGGTGTCCTGGGCTCCACAAAAGGGAGGAACACAGTAGCTGCAGCAGCATCTGCAAACCAGTACTGAATGGGACTAGGATTCCTCCCAAACCCCAGAGCAGAGAAAGCAAGTGTGTGTGTGTGTGTGTGTGTGTGTGTGTGTGTGTGTGTGTGTGTGGTTGGGGAGGTCTAAGGAAAGGGCGGGGCTCAGCCTTCTTTCTCTCTGGAGCATGAGAGAAAAGATCTGGGCAGGGGAGGGGGTGAGGGAGAGTGGGGCATCAAGGGAGGCAGCGTGTCTGCCCCCGCTGTTCATGAGTGGGTGCCGTGGGCTAAATCCTATATAACACAAACCTTCCAGAGCCTGGAGAAGAGGGAGCCACACCCTCCTTTCTGGCCCAGTCTCTCCACCAAGGGACCTCATACATTTCTTACTTTCTTTCTTTTTATTTTTTCAGGCAATTGGGGGTTAAGTGACTTGCCTAGGGTCACATAGCTAGTAAGTGTCAAGTGTTTGGTCTGAGGCCGGATTTGAACTCAGGTCTTCCTGACTTCAGGGCCAGTGCTCTATCCACTGCACCGCCTAGCTGCCCCTCATGCATTTCTTTCTAAAACTCTTTCAGATTTGAGGTTTTATTCTCTCCAATACCAGCCACCCTCCCATTAGTGAATTGGCACAGTGGAGAGACACCTGGAATTGGAGGCACAAGACCTAGACTGAAGGTCTGCCTTACTCATTGTGTGGCCATGGGCAAACCACTTAAACTCTCTAAACCTCACTTTTCATATCTGTAAAATGGGGGTGATAATAATACCTAGGCTAAGTAAGTTGCAGGGCGGTTGTAAGGTTTAAAGGAGACATTTTGCAAATGGTTTTCCAAACCAAGAAGCACTATAGAAGTGTTTCTCCTTCTTCTGCTTATCTTTATTATTCATCTCTTCTAGATTTTTGATGCAGTTTACATATCATGCCATTGATTCTTTTCTGTTCAATATTCTTCAGATCATTGCACAGAATTACTGTCTTTTGTAACTCAATAAAAGTATTGGGATGTTAATTCATCTGCTGAAGGCTCCGGGAATACATCTTTAGGACAATTCTAGGAGGAGACAGGATTGTGGGGGTCACATGTTCTTCATGCTGTTCCCACATGGTATTCAGTTCTACCCCTAGGGCTCTATATGTTGCAAGTTTTTCATCCATGCAGCTTAGAGATTAGGAACAGTTGCTATGCTATTAAAAACATCGTTCTTGATTTTTAACACTAAATGAAGTGTTACGTCT